GAGACGAAGTTGTAGTAATCCGCAAAAGCAGAGGCCCTCATCATTCCTCACTTTGTCACCACACACACACACCACAGCAGCGCCGGCACCGACATAATTTCACCGCACATATCCTTAACTACAGGTGGGCGGGCAGGCGAGAAAGAAAAGTGCGAGAGCAACGCGAATCGCCGCTCCCCAGCGGCACACACAGCTGCACAGCACGTCAGCACCGCACAGAATCAATCCGATCCCCCTGCTTGGGTGGCTGGATGATTCGCTTCGCAGTACAGTACCACCGACAAGGCCGGAAGTCCGGAACAACCCACCCGCGCACGCAAAACCCCCCAAACCAGCGCGCGATCGAGCCAGCTAGCACGAGCGGCGGCGATGGCGAAGCGGTAGTCCACGGAACCAACTCGCTGCGAGCAGAGCGGGGCAAGGCGGGGAGGGGAGGGGAGGGGGAAGCACGAGCCATGAGCGTACCATCAGCAGCGTCGGTGACCGCGCGCACGAGCCTCGGCGCGGCCGCCAATGCGACCAGCACCAGCAGCAGCAGCGCCCCGGCGCCGCGGCGGCGCTCCGGAGCCCGCTGCATGGCCTCGCTCCCAACCCAATTCCCAACGGGGTCGAGCGATCACACCATTCGGGCGTGGTCGCCGCGCCTCGGATCGCAACCGCTCAGACGGCGCGCGGAGGCCGCCGCCGGTCGCGCAGATCCGCCGCGCTTGGAGCAATGGGGGAGGGGAGGAAGGGTGGAGGAGGAGTGGACGGAAGCGACGAGGCGGAGACAGAGGAGATGGTTGGGGTGGTGTGGTATGGGACTGGGACGAGCAGCGACGCAACTGGCAAGGCAAGTAGCGCGCGGCAAGCCTAGCAGGCGTAAAAAAGGTGGGCTCGCTTGCCTCGTCGTTGGCCGAGACACGGCACGGGGGTGGGATTTGTTTTGTTTACTGCGTGGGGTGGGGATGGGCTCACGCTGTGGCGCCTGGCGGGGCCGGGTGACGAGGCGGGGGGGACTCCGGGGGATGCCGATGCCGTGGTCGCGGCTGGCTGGCTAGCTGGTCCTCGGCGGCAACAGTGTGCGGCCGGCGTGGACCGCGGGGGGAGCATGTGCGCGTGGACGACGGACGGATGTCGCGGTCGCGGCCGCGGCCTGCGGCGCGCTGCCCGCTGCGCCTCCCTCCCGCTCGCCCTCGTGGCCTCGTCCTTGCCGGGTTTTGTTTCCTATTCGTCTCGTTTCCTCCTGTCCTGGCCCGCTAGCGGCTGGCCGGCCGGCTGCTCGTACGTCTCATCTGGTTTCTGAACGAGTGACGACGAGGCACGCAGTTTGACCACCTAGCCCGGCCAGACCACAAAGTTGGAACGTGAGCTGCGTTTACTACTGGCTGGTAGCCTGGTACAGTAGTAGCTGCGTGTTCCAGTAGCTCTCAATAGTAGCCGGGAGTCTCTCGGGGGACCGAAATGCCTAGGATCCTTCCAAAACCGGGTGATCTAGACACGCAGTACAACGTCGATTTGACAACGATGGCGATGGCGAGCCTACGGGAGAGCGAAACCACCTCGGCACTGTGTCTCTGCGTGTGCACTTGACCGGTGACCGCGTCTACTTGAGCTGCGCCGTTGACCGACAGTTGCATTAAGAATTACATCTACACATCTGCTAGTAATTTTTTTAGAAAAAGGTTATCTACATTGCTCTTTACCTGCTGCTACCAACAACCTGTTGTTAGAGCTCTTCGAGATCCACATAGAATTCGAAGTTTTATAATAATAAACCGAGATCATTTAAACCTCCACGTTTAATCCAAAATTAGGAACAAGATAGCTCAGCTAAGTGCACGTGCGCCCACTAGGTTGAGCTCCAAAATTTTCTAGAGCAAGGGATGGCCACCTAAATATAACTTTTATAGCTAAGTATATGGGTCCATTTACAGTTTGAAGTTCACATGATAAATTAAAGTGATCTAAGCATCTATATGTTCAGTCCAAACTAAAACAAAAATGCTCAAATAAATGCACTCACATACAGTTCTGGCTAGAGATAACTCGCTCAAAAAATTCTTAGAGCTGAGGTCTGCCACCTAGTACATTTGCACTTGACTTCAAAACACACACGGTCGTCTAGGGCACAAAAGTTCTCCATCGATGGCTCCACGTCCGGACGTTGTTGTTGCGGAAGAAATTGCCAAGTAGCATCTGGTGGTGACTTCACTAACAAACAATAAATTGATATGCTCCTCATCGAGCTCTTGGTCAACCGTAGAACCGTTCTTCCAAGCTAGCCTCATCATGGATGCGAAGACTAATGCCATGGAAATTGCACTACTTGCTACGGTTCCTGAATCAAGCGCTAGAAAATGACGAGACGGAACACGGCCAGGACGACACCGAGAGAGCGGAATCTCCTTTCGCTTCCGTTTCAGAGAAAAGAATCAGCACGTCGCCGTCTTGGTGTAAGGTTATGATCAGTATATGATATGATCGCCCTGTTCGCTTGGTTTATAAGTCGTACTTTTTCAGTCAACGAACAATATTTTGCTCCACAATAAATCAACCAACAGTACTTTCAGTCCTGACTTATTAGTCAAGTGAACAGAGCAATGATATGATATGATATGAACACTTTTGACACTTTGGGGCAACAATGGATGGGGAATTCCACAAGTGACGAGCCATCCTTATCCCTGCATCTGCATGATGAGTTGACTAATCACACGAAGACGCGTACTAAATACAGTGATAGATGTGCTGTGACTGGGTGCTTAATACTAATAATTAATCGAGGCGCATTAATTTGGTGCACGAAGGAAGGACGAGGGCTTAATAAAGCCTTATAAACAACGGTGGATCTCACATCACTCATATACGCGTATGTCACGGACATTCGTCCTGTGAGAATTGAGATCGAAGATTTGGGCATTTGATTAGTGCGGGTAGGAGGAGATATAAGCGGGAATGGTCCACTAGGCCGGGCATGGAGAATCTCTTGTCATAACGTAACCCTGACGTTCATCCACCGCAGTTTCTTGTATAAATTAAGCCCGGTTTGCAAGCAGGGCTCAACACTGGACCTGGACAATCCTATAAAGAATATAGTGAAGCGTACCAAATCGTAACACTTATACGGGACTACATGGAAGCTGATGATGGGTTTTCCGGACGCAAGGGTAGTCAACAAGACCAACAGGACCTGGACAATCCTATAAAGAATATTTTCAGTGAAGCGTCACCAATTTTTATCGTTTACACATTAAATGTGGGAAAAAATAACAATTGTACAGTTTAAGCTGAAATGGTGGGCTTTTCCGGACGCAAAATAAAGTAAAGTCGCTTACAATCGACCAAATTTTTGTCTAGCAAACAGTACGCCGCCGGAGCCTTGCCCTTGAAACATCTCATCCACCACCAGCTGCTTTGACCTTCTGGATAACCTGGCTAAACATGAGGCTGATGGCACGAAAATCGCCGCAGCTTTATGCACAGAGTTCTCCGCACCTGGCTTCCAAAACAAGCCGCGTATCTCCGTTGCGTCCGGAGAGGTGGCGAGATCATGTTTCCCCAGCCAAAGCCGTAGCACGTAGCACGTCACCGCCATCGCTTTGGACTTTTCCTTGCTAGTCTCTCCTGTCAAAGTTACCCAACGGATTAAAGAGTATTTTTATATATAAAAACCAAAGCAAAAGGGCACAGAGAGAGAAAGGCACAAAGCATAGGCATAGCCAAGCCAGCCTCGCCTAGCGCCTAGTGGCGCGGCTGCCTGTGAAAGTTCCTGAATCCTCGTTGGGTCACGAGAACTTTGGGGCCGGAAGAGCGAGTGCATCACCATCTCGCATGGCAGGCATAGCGGCAGATCAAAGTGTAAAAAGCTCACTTGGGCTTTGTCATCTGGAAGAAGCCTTTCTTGGATCTTGACCGCTTGTAATCATAATGTTTTGAAAATAAGCAGTAGTCACATTGCTCCAGATAAATTGAGAAGAAACATTGGGTTGCCAGGGCCAGGCAAGGCTCATGACGAAACAGACGCACTGTTCGCTTGGACTTGCTTGGCTGATAAGCTATGGCTGAAAGTACTGTTGGCTAATTTGGTGTGAGAGAAAAATATTATTTGTTGGCTGAAAAAGTACGGCTTATAAGACAAACAAGCCCAAGCGAACGGGGTGAGAAACGGGCCCCGTTCGGCTTGCTGAAACTTGGCTGAATTGGCTGAAAATTACTGTTCTAGCTGAATTGTTGTGAGAGAAAAACACTGTTCCGGCTGAAAAAACAAGATGAATAGTGCGGATTATAAGGCAAGCCGAACGGGCGTATCAACAAAAAGAAAACTTCATCCACATGACCTAGTAGACACTAGTGCTTGAACAAGAGAGAGTGCTGGAGCTGGACTGATGTGGTGCTAGTGGGGATGGGCATGATGGGAGGCAGATTTGTGTTGGTAAAAGGCCTTTTTGATAGTACAGTACTCCTGAAGAATCGAGGTGGCATGAGATTACAGCTCCTAAGGGGGACAAAAGGAAGTGGGCTGAGAATCAGCCCGGAACGAAAGTTCCGTCATGGTTTCTGGTTTCGCAGTAGCTGAAATGATCATTACGGTGGGGCAATGGTTTTGTTGTTTTCTCGTGTCCGCTCTTCATTGGTTCTTGGATGAGTATCTATCTACTGCCTTCTTCACTTTAGCACTCAGACGCCTCGTCAAAGAACGAAAGAAAGCTTCACGTTCACTGAACTAGCTACTCCATGTCCACTGTCCATGGAGCATTAATCTCTTGTGTGGAGACTTTAACAAAGAGAAAGTGGGAATCAACAGAAAAGGCAAGTATTCTTCCAAACAAATGAATAAATAATTGTAATTGCAAGGACAGTTTGTTCAAACAAAGTACAGAGCAACAGCCCATGAGATGCTTCTCGCGCTATTTTACCCTCAGTTCTACCCGGCATCTGCTGAATCTAAACAAATGAAGCCATCATTAACTTATCTACCACTAAGCACCCCTGAGGCTCCCAGGATTATTCGGTTACAATTACAATCTCTTCAAGCTCTTCTTCCTTGCATCCATCTTCTTCTTATCAACTACTTTGACGGCATGTGGCGCATCCTTCTTGGGCACGCCGGATGCTCCTACAACAGGATCAGACGTAGCAGCATTCTGATCCAGAGAGTTTTTACCTAATGCTTTGGCCGCAGCAGAGGTAGATATCGTTGCTGACGCCAAAGGCGTGTTCTCACCGAGAACAACATTGGACTGGCCCACATTTAGAGCTGTGGTTGACTCAGAAATAACTCCGCTCTTCGATTTGTTCTTAGGTTTAATTGCGTGGATGCCAGTGTATAGCCTACATACAGAGCACAGAAATGGTCATCAGGAACTCGTTACAGCTTCAAAAGACGCTTCAGTAAGAGATATGATCTGACATATGTAATTGTAGACAGTGCTTGCACACAATCATAATAATGTAACCTTCACCACAAAGGGGAAAAAGGTTGAGTGCTAGTCTAGGCTGATAACATGAAATTGAAAGTGAACCTTGCATGCCGTGTGTACTCCTTGTAGTTTTCAAGTAACATCTTTCCAGCTTGTTCATTGAGGGCAGATTCAGGAAATGGTTCAATCAGAAGGCATCTCACTACCTGACAAACATGTGAAAAAGCAATCCATAATAAGTTTGCGGCATGTTGTGACGTACTGACGATATTTGGATATCTGAGATAGATCAGACTTGAAAATTGATTACAAACACGTAACACATTAGCAGTAGAATAAGGACTAAGGGTGAGTGTGCTGTATTTTCAGCTTACCAGCAGAACATGTCTTAATCCAAGACCAGGATTCCAATCCTTCTTCAGTGTATTCACACATATCTCACCACTAGTTGCTATGTTTGGATGGAAAATTTTGGTCAAAAAGAATCCTGCAAGTAGAAAGCCAAATATTTTTAGTTAAATGCTTTACAAAAAGGAAAAAAATCTACTATGGAAGATTCTCAAAGTTTCAAAAGATAGCAACCTTTGGGAGGAGACTGAGGGAAGTCACGGGATAATAATAGCTTCATCCTGAATAATCCATTCTCGTATGGAGTTCCAGCTGCACCATGTTGCGATTCAGATTTTCAAAACATATTTAAGAAAGTAGTACAAGATAAAAGGAAACTTAGAAATTTCAAAGCAATTCAAGGTCTGTCGTAGCCACTGTCATAGGGCAAGCTTCATGATACTTAGCTCTAAACAAACAAGTTTATTAAAAATATATGGACAGACAAAAGACTAACACTACTTACTAAGCAAGTTCAACAGCATGAGCACCATAGATACATGCAAAATTAATCATTAAAGTAACAAAATAATGGCATTTATAAAACCGATGTATCTTGACAATATCTTACCCGGACCCTCAATATCAGCAAAAATAGTGGTGAAGTCATCATCATTAACACTAACTTTGATCCCTTCTGGAGGTGAGTCGTCAAGATTCTTCAATTCTTTAGCCAATTGTCGGATCACATTTGGTGGGAGGTTCTCGTTGGTTGCCTTCAGTGACATCCACATACATATGTCATTGGAATCATGCTCGCCCCAGAAAGTAATCCTAAAATGTTAAGTTTTCAGATTCTAACCATGGAAGCAATAGCAGCAGACAACTTTAAAGCCGCTTCTTCAGCAACTTCACTTATAAATCCTGTAGTACCAGAATAATACCTTTGGCACAAACTCAGCACTGTGCAATTGCAAAATGTATTTATGGTATTAGATACTATTGGATACATAGAAGAACATCACAAAATCAAGTAAGCATTTATAAAAACTAAGGAAAAAATCAAAGATGCATAAGGTGCTTAGAATGGTCTTGTGGAAGGCAAGTACTAATGGCTCCAAAGCAGGTGTGTGCAAATTGAACTGTGGTGAGCAGAAAGCAAACATTGCACATAGGAGCACTCGAATAGTTATTTCAGAACCCTAAAATAGAATTGCAAGTTCGGTTTCCAACTAAAACAGAATAAAAAATAGTTTTTGGCTTTTCGCATATGTTGCTTGCTCTTTGCTGTTGGCCCAACCATCCGCATGCTTGCTGCATCTATCCGAGGATGAGGCTGGTGCACAGGCGCACAGCGGACATCAGAGGTACCATGCGGCACCAGCACCTCCCCTCTCCACTTCTGTGGTAGATTTGGAAGCACCTCAGGCAGCGGGAAGTGGTCCGGTGTGGAGGAGCAGTGGAGCACAGCCTCCTATGCAGTGCGGAGGATAGGTCTCTGTCAGCATCTCAAGCGAGCTCTGTGGGCTCCAGTGACGTCTGGATGCAACCAATGTAGAAGGAAACAAATGAGACCATGAGAGGAGTTGGAGGGAATCCGGCCGGTTTTTGTGCCATTGACCGGATCTAGTCATCTCCATGAGTTTTGTGGAGCCATGGCTGGATTTGTTTGAGAGGGCGAGGGAACCTAAAGGAACAGGTAGAACCCTTATTGTAGTTATGTAAAGGTCAGTAAGAGAGGAATTATTTTTAAGTTGTCTGTGGAACCCACACATATCGAAGCAGCTGAACCTCGGCCCTTCAATTTGAACACACATTACGGTGCTCTTAGGAAACAATTAACATCACTAAGCCTGTATTCTTGGTTCATGCGACACATGGTACATCACTAGCTCTTGTAGAGATATAGATACACCCAACGAAAATGATCCCTGATACAAATATGAACCATTTCTGTGTAAGTGGTAACTTTAACAACGGTACTGAATAAAAATATTGCCATATGAATTATGCATGTAGGTAACTAGGTGTAGACCAGGTACCGACAGAAGTGACATAGAAGCAAAAAAAGGAAAGGAGTACTTCAGGCCTTCACCATTTCAGGTCGACCGCATAATTGAGGTGGATATGGAATATTCCATGTCCCAAGTAATTGCAACTTTCTTGATCTATATCAATGTTTACAAGTCGTCTAGTCGAACCTAGTCGCCATGGGACCGACCAGGCAATTAATCGCGATTAGTCGTCGACCAGGCTGATTAGTCGAGCCTAGTTGACCCTAGTAGTCCCCTCCTTTTTGCTGCCAATTTTAGAGCTTATGCACAAGCAGCCACCACCCACACTACCCAAAGCAGTTTATACCCTATCCAATTATCCAAGCACAAGCAGCATACCACATCAAAGGAGTATATCCAAGTCCAAGATCCAAGCAAGCATAAGAAATATAGTTCAGACTTCTGAACAGAGGAAGGAAAGGAGAGGAAGAACAGGAGCCAAGCTGGTCGTCCCTGTCCTAGTCGGGATTAGTCGTCGACTAATCGGACGACCAACTTTCTGATCGAGCTAATCGCGTCGGTAGCCCAAATCGGCCACCAGGGACCGATTAGGACGACTAATCGCGATTAATCGGACGACTTGTAAACATTGATCTATATAAAGGAGCCATTTCCACAGCCTAACTAGTCATTTGCTGGCTATCCAAACATCAAAAGGAATCAATTCCTAATAAATATACCAGCTTCTATAAACCATTGTCCCCTCATACACAGAAGGATAAATATGACATGCACAACCACACAAGGCACACGTAAGGGTGACAGTAGTAATCCAATGCTGCTAAGAAATTATGCCCTCAATGTCTGCAAACACCAAGAACTGCAATATATAGCAACATATAAAGTACGAAAGAAGTATTAAATACGTGGATAGCGCAGTTAAATCAGACCAATTAATCGCCATTCTGGAAGTAAGTCACGGTTGTCCATTACATTGCTGTTCCATGCTACTGCATTTGTGTCAATCTATCAATTGGAGCACTTTCACAGGCTATTCATTGTGGTTAAGTGGTTAACAACACAGAGATAGAAAACAGCAATGACAATTAAACATATCAGACTACGATGTGCGTAAGGCGTGCTCCAAGTTCCTTACATCCAGGGCCTGGCACGGTGAACTTTTCACTACAGCAACATAAATGGCAGTCCTAAACAACATACCAATCCAACCCCACCTCATAATTCAGAAATGGATGTCTCTGTTCAGAAATGATCTACGTTGGGTAAAGGAAATGCGAGACCAATCAATTGCCCCAGCACACATGGGCACGAGGTTGGCTGAGATCCCATCTTGGTCCCCTCCTTCCAACGTAAGTAATTGGCTGCTTACCCCCCGACGCAGGGCAGGCGCCGTAGGACAGAAGAGACCGCCCCCTTCTTCGTCACCGGCCTACCACCGCCTCCGGCTGTACGGCCGATAGATCGACGTTGCCCCCCGGCTCGTAGGTACGCAGGCAGCGACCGATCCTGCAGCGCGGGCTGCCGGGGAGCGAGCGAAGAGGCAATTGAGACTGCTGAGAGTGGAGAAGTCTCAGGCGGCGGGGAGGGGATGACCGCCGCGCGCCGCCCGGCGGTGGTCCGGGTGGTGGAGGCCTGGACGAGGGGAGGGGTATGAAACCCTAGGCGCGGGGAGAAGGGGAAGAGGACAAAGGAGCCAGCCAGCCAGCCAGGAACTGAGATTTGAGTCTTGTTGAGAGTCGAGTTGCCGAAATGGGAATTCAACAACGCAATCCGCTATTCCGCTGCGAGGAGCGATCCGACCGTTGACGTCGAGTGGTCCCCACCGATGCGGAGCACAGCCTAGAGGATGGGCCCACCTGCCGACAGTTTGTTGGGCCCCGGATCCGTGGCTGTGGTAGCCGTTGGTCCTGCCCAGCAGCCCAGGTGTCGGATTCGAAATTCCGGTGGGCTGCCGGACTGTGAAGTAATGATCCTGTCCCCGAATAAATAATAAATTTTTTAAGTTGTTTTAAGTTAAATTTTTTAAACTTTAACCGAATTTATAGAATAAAACGTTAAGACTCATAATATTAAATTAGTATCATTAGATTTAATATAGAATATATTTTCATAAGTTTATCAATTTTATGTCATAGATGTTATTACTCTTTAAAATTTATAGGGGGCGGAGGGAGTACCAGTGTACTACTACGTGATAAGTGATAATGTGAAGATAAATTTGGAATGTCGGCGGCTGAAAACGGAGGTGGAGACAATGAGGAAGAGCAACCATGATTTGTGGAGAAGGGGAAGAAGATGAAGCAGCAAAGAAGACTGATATGGAAGCTACAGAGGAGGATGAATGAAAACATGGATGATCCAACGCCAGCAGTCATGGAGCTATCGAGGAAGACTGAGGAGATAGAGAATCTGGATTTAGAAGTGGAGATTGTGGATTGGCACTTGGCAGAGGAGGGAAGGAACCAGAGGAGCGGTGAGGGGAGGAGACATCAAAAGGGAAAGAGGAAGCAAAGACGGTACTTTTATACGACTGAAGCGACAATTTGTACTGAGATCGAATGATGTAGTACGAGTACGAGTACCGGAGTACGAGTGCAATATGTTAAGTTTTGTTTGAGTGAGGTTGTAATCGAGAGAAAGAGAATAAATAAACTACGATCGTTTTTATTGATTGATCGTGTCTTTATACATGTCGAACTGTCCCCGATGAATCGGCCGATGTCCGCTCGAAGGCATCGCTCATGAACGGACCCGTTGATTGGCGATGTCGGTGTGTTACAAGGAAGTATAGGAATCATCCGATTAGATGGACACTTAAGACTAATTCCAATTCACTAATCCACATCATGGATCCTGTGCTTTCTCTACCTTGGTGATCCGTGTGATGAGATCATTTGAATGTGATTGGTTCTTAACACTCCCCTGGATCGAATCCAGTCTCGAGATCAATCACCTCGGAATTTCACAACAATCAATGACGTAGAGTACAAGTGCAATATGTTTTTTTTTCCTCTAAAGACCTTTCTGGAACTCAAGAATTTTATTTACAACAATCTGTTCGTTTTCACAGGAAACAATAAACAAATTCCCGCATTTCAAGGAAGGCCGGGAAAAGTTTGACTTGGTTGGGTCGCCTCGCCAATGGTGAGAGTTCCCAGCTGGTGGGTCTTAGCTTAATGGTAACGCGCTGCCAGCAACTCGTCTGCAACCAACAACTAGCCAGGCTACTCCAAAAGTATCAGATCTCAACCGCTGCTCTACCACAGCAACCACGATCCAGAGAGTATATTTGGTAAAGGCAGCACAACAAACCACCACGTATACAGAGTTTTGCAGCCAGTACTGAAACATGAATCTGAATATCTGACGCACAATTGGTCAGGTAGGAAGGTCATGTACGCGGAATTGACGGTGGCTCCAGCACCGCAAGTAGCAGGAATGCTGATTGAATGCATCAGATCAGACAAGGGGAAACAACAAAAGGAAATAGGCAAGCGTTCTTCCAGATGATTGGACATTGCACATACAGTTGTCCCGAAGGACCAGTTCACATTATTCACTCTTGGCCCCGCCCCGGACCCCTTCTCCCGAAAGCCAGGTCATCAGATGCTTCTCAACTTATTGTTTCTCTCCCAGCTTCACTAAGCATCTGCTGAATTTCTGACAAATTTATAAATTCTGAACTATAAACCCTCTTCTTCCCAGGAGGGTTCCCCGCCTATAATCTCTTCAAGCTTTTCTTCCGCGCATCCATCTTTTTCTTATCAACAGGA